CTTGTTTTAATTCAATCTCGTCATATCTTTGTTTGTGTGAGTGTCGGTGGCCGAATCGGTCCCACATTTGTGGCTCAACCTGGCTAGCTCCCGACGCCTCTAAAGCCTCATCCTTGTCAGCGTCCTTTGAGGAATCCGGAGCAGTAGCGGAGATCTTAGGGGAGGAATGATTTTCCTCTACCTCACACGAAACGGTACTCGTAACAGAGACAGAGGGAGATGCAGATTCAGTGGCTCTGGGTTCTATTGCTCCAACGTCTACGGCTGAGTCTGGATTCGACGTATCCGGCGATGGGGGTGTCTGTTTTTTCTCCTCGGCAATAATTAAAGATGGCTGGTGTTGCTGTTGATGGGAGCTAGGAGCGGGTTGTTGTTGGGCCTTTGCATCCAATTCCATGCAGGCAGATTCAGTCTGTTCTAGTTTCGAAGTCACTTGCATTTGGACAATCTCAATGTTGTCATTGCTACCTTTAACATCCACTTTTTGTACTACTTGCTTCGTTTCAGCTCTTTTCTCCATCTGCCTTTTTCGTAACTCCAGCGCCCGCATTAACCTCTGTTTTTCGGGGGTTATTGAAAGTGAACTTGGCACGCTCATAACGGATCTGGGAGACCCTGGCGCATGTCTAGACATAGGCCTAAGGTTAAGCGGTGGAGGAGGAATCAATAAATGAGGTACAGGTGGAGCCATTGATGGAGGAAGACGGGGCACCGGGATATCAGGTTGGGATTTGGGGCGTCCGGGAGAGGCGCCATTCTTTCGGGTTGACATTCGTACGCCCGCAGGTAATGATGCCACTGGACGTGTATCATTGGATCTACCTATCGATCCTGCAGTTCGTGGTCGTCCACTAGGGTCCATTGACGGCCGGGGCCCTAGCTTAACCTTTGGGCGATACAAGCTTATTGAATCTAAATCTTTCAGCGACGGTCTAGTTGACTGAGAAGATTTGCGCGAATCTGGGGGGGAATGAGTAAGGGAGTCTAGGAAATGCCTTTGCGCATGACCACTTGACTGGCTTTCAGTGCGACTTCGGGGAACAGTGGGCAAAGGCTTTTCGGCTACAGATTCCGAGCGGTCAGATTGCCGCGGTCGCTGCGTATCGGTTCTGGAGGCATCGACCGATTCCTGGACGTTCTGATGATGGCTGGGTACAGCGGTGGCATCCGAAGTCACACTGAAAACGCTTTCCCTTCGATTTCCATGGCCATTGTCGGGGTGAACATGTGATTCTTCTCGAGGGCTAGCACATTCCTCTGCATCTTCGGCAATTTCGCCCAATCTGCGACGACGAAGCGAGCTTGACGACGAAGTCATTGAACCGGAAGCAGCGTGGAGCAGACAGGCGGAGGAGAGTGCGCTCTCTGTCAACTCCGACGAAATGGCAAGGGTGAACACAGTGTCATTTGGGGAAAACTTGTCCAATATAGACTGGAATTGGACAGTGATTCGAGCTGCAGCAGAGCAATTACATATCAGCTTCCTGATCATTGGAATGTCAAGTAAACCAACTACCTTCAGCCCTTCAGAGAAATAGTACCTTGGATCAACCTTGAAATACCCTCGGGGACATATTTTAATATTACTTTCCTCCGACGATACTGTAGAAAGCCGTAAAGAGGGGACGTCTCCTCATGACCATCGATTGTGATTTTGATCTCCGTGACTCCCCCCGTTCCACGGGCCAGGAGCGCGACGGTATCACGGCTGACATATTTGAGCAAAAACCTAAACCGGAGAAACGCAAAGATAGATCATTAGCGCATATCATTTCCAAGCGCCAGGTTCAACTGATTGCTCGGGACTAATTTCGCAGCCCAATTCGAAAGATATGCACAATACGACAGAATTTGAACTTCAGTCCATGAAGTATATATAGAGGAGAGCGGGAACTGGCCACGCCATAGTCGAGAAAACAAGCAAAGGCAGTAGGATATTGAACTCACCATCCACCAGCTTCAGCAAGAGCAGACTGGTAGGCCTCGATGACAGTGGGATCATCTAACCCATTGAGAGACATGACGGGAGCTGCATTGGAAATGATGAGGCCCTACGGAGGGAATGCAAAGCGATACGGGGCCAGCAGTAGCAGCAGTCGCAGTAGCGGAGCGAAACGCGAGGGAAAGACGAAAAAGGACGGGAGAAAGGAAAGGAGAGTTGGTGAAGTCGAGCGATGTCTGGAGAGAAAAGGGACTGGACGACGAGAGCATGCACGCTAACCGGGTTATCAAGTAGCACAAGTCTTGCGCTGACCGGGGTGTACGAAAACCCACAAACCCTGGCAGGATATCAAGAGAGGGGAAAAACAAAAGAAACCACAGAAACAAAAGGAAGAAAGGAAAGGCCTGAAACAATGGACTAAGGACCGACTGATTGCCACAGATGGTGATATTTTCCTGGATGGCGATGGTTTGGCCGGCGAGGAGAAGCTGAGTGGGCCTTGGGTCTTTGGTCTTTGGCACAGCAAACGCTATTTTCAGGGGCAGCGATTCCACAAGTGCGCACCAAGACAACTCAATCAATATAAAAATAATCAGGAACACACCTCCACTGTACAAACAGCTAACTAACGACGCATTTTCATGGTAAACTCCAACTTCTCTTCTTCTTCTTCTTCTTCTTCTTCTTCTTCTTCTTCTTCTTCTTCTTCTTCTTCTTCTTCTTCTTCTCTTCCTCCTCGGCCAACAGCTCAAACTATCCTTTATACAACAACTCCTGTTTCACCCAGTTTTCGACGACAATAGTCGGATGAAACAAGCGAATTGAACCAACCCAAAGTCTCCAATTTTCCAGGCGCATATTTAACTATCGCCATCACTCGATATCCATATCAATATCAATATCAGCCACGAAAAGCAGGCGTCTTCCCATATACCTAGTCTTCTATCCTACCGGCAAGGAAGGAAGAAATTACCTTTGGAGATATGTGGACTACGCTGCGCAGGATTTGATTTTATCCGGGGTTGCATGAGATTTATCTTTGCATCTAGGCGGCTCTTGGAGCTTGAGACCGGCAATCAAAGCGAAAATGAATCCCCAGATCCGTTAACCCAGTACCCACATGGATATAACATGTTCAAGCAACAGAGTACGTGGAGGCATCAATTTTTCGTAGCGATACCCCGAAGGATCGTCTGCTCAAATCCTAGCAAGCCCGCACACTTGCGAACTTGGGGTAGTATTTCTCCCTACTTCAAGGTTCATTCAGTCCCACCGCAAAAAGCATGAAAGCGACTTGGGGCGGGGGCAAATTTTTTTAGTGCGCATTGAGCGCAATCGAGCGCCCTCGCGATTGGGCAGAATTGTGGGTGTTCAAGGGGTAAAACTCACCAACTCTTAGCCTTGATCTCTTTGAGTTTGATATACAACCATCCCAATCGCCATTGACCTGCTAAGCAACCAGGATCGAATTGATATAAGTTCATTGGGCTTTAGATATGCCTGCAAACTTCCCCTAAGTTCTACCTACGATTGAGGCTCTTGAGCCCTTTCTTGCTTGTTTTCCTTCTCTATTCTTGCTCGACACCCAATTAAACATGTATGTCAGACATAAAATGTTTAAAGGCCCCAACAACACAAGCATGGTGCTGTGTCGACGAAATCATCCGGCCTTTTAGTAACATGTTCCACTCAGATGTTGGAAATCAAACGATCTACTTTCTCTTTGACCGGGTTTACAGAGCCTTATTGGCTCTTTTGCGAATAAGTTGGTACAAATAATGAAGGAGAGCCTGATATGACAGATTGCCGCTCAATCTGTTGCACTCACGCCCGCTTATAAATTATTTACCAAAAAAAGAAGAATGATGATCAGGTCGCCGATTCCAGAAGATATCAATCAAAAAGGGAACAGAATGAGGAGAAAGGACGAAATTGCCTTTACCAGGGGTCTTCAGAAACATCCTCTTGCATCATCTGATGCAATTCAGCTCGATCAACTAGCTTCAAAATAGCCGGACCTTTCTTCTCCACGAGATGTTTCTTTTTTTCCTCATAGGAAAGGTGGCAATGTTTGCTTTGTGTGTATATTCACAGAAGTAACCACGTTGTTGGCCTCCAAAACCAGGCTCAAAGAACCGATACTGGTCAGTGCCAACATGCGCCGCCAACCCTCTCTTCTCAGTTGCTATCCAATTTCTCCGTCGTACAGAGACGGAAAGCGAGCTCTGGCAGCGAGGTATCGACTACGAGTATTCGTCACATACCCAAAATAATTTCCAAATTCTAACGATCAACTATTTCCCCAGATCCCTTTTTGACTCCGACTCGCGGAAAACTATATCAAAATGCTGATTCATCCCAATGGAAGAGAAGTTCTATATAATACCAACAACATTTATAAATTTATCCATCCACCTGCAAATCTTTCGAATTTGATGCTCTAGGCTTCTAGTCTCCTTGATTGGGGTGTGTGTCTATAACGAATAGGCAGTTGTATTCGGATGCATACCATCACATAGTGATGTCTGCGCACTATCTTCGAAGCTTACCAGCAAAAGCCGACATCCGCTTTTCACCCCAAACTCCGCAACCCTGGGAATGGTACAGCCAATTCTGGCCGGAATTCGTTGGCTTTATTGATTATACCTCCTACTGGACACCCCTCCATCCTTACCTTCCGTACCTACAGGATCAACGTACAAACTCCATCCACTCCATCATCCGACCATGGGGCAATGCAAACTTTGTTGGCGGTTGATATTTTAGGCGAAATGCTAAACTCCCAGTTGGTGTTGGTTTCGAAGTTGGAACTTGCAGTTGCGATTCCCTACCGTCGGGCTGGCGCATTGCTCCATCACATAGTTACAATATTCAGCATAGGGCAGCGCAAACTATTCTACTAGGCTTGAAAAAGAGTGTCGCCGGGCAATACTAATGTTTACACTCGATGCCTATTGTTCTGTTGGAGAGGTATATAAGTTTTGATACAACGACACATTGATCACATTTTCGGCAATATAACTAATTAGCAAATCAAACTAGAGACATATCTAGTTACCTACAGAAAAAAAATGAGCAAAAATCATGATTTTAAGCTCGTGAAACCAAGGGTATCTAGGATTACAGATGTTTGTTGTTATGATGGATGAGTCCCTAAATGAAACACCTAACTGCCCCCCCTTCTGGTGATTTCTATATCCAACCTCCTTCCAGCCTCAAAGCGGAATTAGATCTAGCTACCCTTCCTAGCAGCTAGTTATACTCTCCAGTAGATGAGCGATGGAGCTATGCAAGAAAGACGAAGATTACGACAATGCCGGTAGGGATCGTCCGCGTGGCGGGTCGCTTTGCTGATGATTAACACATTATAATATAGAGCTTTTCACGATCCTATGATCCTCCTCGGATCAGCGAACATAACTCCATATAATTCTATGCTGCAATAATAGAAGGAATATGTGAGAACCAAATTTCAATAACCTTACTTTTACGGTTGTTTAAGGTTCGGCCCGCCCAAAAGTCGCATTCCAAATGTGCAACTCCAAATAGAGTTGCTGAATATATTTAAAAAATGGTTTGGTGTTCCGTCCCAGCTCTGTGAACAGAGAAATTCGAATACAGTTATCCCACTTGTTGTTGGAAAGACTGCGGCCAAAAACTGATTGCTAGTGACATGATCACCCACATAGTCCAGCTAATAATGCCTTAATGACTGCATTTCATGCCATCACGATCGATATCGCTCGAGATTTCTGAAAAGCTTGGGTGTTCCTGCATGAGCTGTGAATTTCGTCTTGAAATTCGATCAACCGAAATTCCTTGTGACGCAATTCCATAATTTCCATTTGCTCCAAACTCTTAGACACATATATATCTAATGGGAAGTACTGTTACCACCAGCGCTAAACTGGTAGGGGACGAACCGTTCTCCAACATTCTCGATGGTCTCGGCCCGAATTTAGGTCACATGATATCCCGGTTCACGCTACACCTCTCGGGATCCATTTCACGGCTTCGAGATACATAGTGAGAATGAGGGGCAAGGTTCACACTGCTCTCCGAATTCTTATTTTTCTCCCCTTGGCTACTCAGTATACCCCCCCCCCCCCCCAATTGACAAAATAAACTAGGAAACATCAAAAAAGTAAAAATATTAAAAATACAGAACCTTGAGCCCTTAAAAAACCTAAGAGGCCGAAAATCATCATGCCTTCCCTCCCTGCAATTTCCACTGTCCCCTCCCTCCCCCAAGCTACCCAAACACAAATACTCGATACCCTTTTCGAGGCCTCCATGGACCTGCACACCCTCGCTCTTCCCCTTCTTATTCATCAAACATTCTCTTCTTATCAATCCCTCATCAGCGCCGTTGGCGCACGCATGACGGTACTCTCAGCTACAGACTCTCCGAAGGACAGAGAGGTTCTATATAGTATTTTACGTGCTCATCCGCGTTTAGGAGAGAAGAAGCAGGCGAATCTGAGCGAATTGAGTCGACAGGAGCAGGCGGCACTTAATGCTGGGAAGGAGGAAGGAGAAAGAGGAGACGAGGGGCGGGACGAGAGTCTGAAGAGGAAGGCGGAAGAAGAGACAGCAGAATTGAAGAAGTGGAACGATTTGTACGAAGAGAAATTCCCCGGGTTGAGATATGTGTATGTGCCGTTATTATCATTACCGTGTGACAAGAAGGGGAAATTGGTATTCGTACCGCGCGTTAAACAATCAAGTATGTACATAGTGTATTCGTCAACGGACGTGGCAGAGACATTTTAATGCAGGATATGCAGCGGCGAATCGAGAGGGATGACATACAGAAGGAAAAGGAGGATATTATACAGGTAAGCCCCTTATCCGCGTCCGTCATTGTGCCTCTCTTTCCCTGCTTCCGTTGTCAACCTCACAACATACGCTGTGAACTAATCCGCATTTGCTTTTTTCCGATGAACAATTTAGGCAATGTGCGATATAGCCATTGATCGAGCACGTAGGCTTGAGCGGTAAATCGAGGGTGGCATATATATATATATAAATGTAAAAGGTTAGAGTCTCTCCTGGGATTGCATCCTACCAATCAAAATT